TTTGTCATTATTATTAATGTTAATAGTGATTATAATGTTACTTATTACTATTAATAATTAATTAATGATGACATTAATATTGTTATGGTATTCAGATATGTATCTTGAACTGCTTCAAATAAATTTATGTGACAATATTCCAATTAAGAAAATAGTTTTCTTGTCATTAATGTTTTTCGGACTTCAAATTTTATTAAGTATTTAAAATTTTATCTAAAAACGTTTATAAATGTTAGCGGTTTTAACCATTGTTTTTCCATATTTAGTCTCCTACATAATGTGATAATATTATTATGGCAATTTATTGCTATTTTGGTTATTTGCAATTTTGTCATTCATAAAAATAATATTATTATCTGGGTTATGGAGAGTGATTTTGAATCAATTTAGTAATTTTGGAAAATCATATTTTCTAGGCAATTGACTTTTGCCATTAATTCCATAATTCATTTAGTTCTTTGAATTATGATTTTAGTTCTTATTGCCCATATTTGGCTAAGTATGAATAAATGAATATTTGGTTTAAATTCATATTCCTTAGTTAGTTCATACTCTTTAAATTGTTTTATGCATTCGATCATATTAAATGCATAATATTAAGTTTAATTATGCAATTAGAGTTTGTGAGATTTTGCTTTACAAATGATAGCATATTCTTTTGGTTTGATATTGTTTGAATTTGTAAATTCAATTATTTCTCATAAATTTGATCTTTATGCATTAAAACATTTTGCCATGGGCTTATAGTTTAAAAAATTTAAAGTATATATTCAGTACATTATTATTCAAAATGTTGGGTCTCTTTTGGTTTGGACTCATCGGTGTTTGAATATTAAGTTTATACTTTAAAATCTCATATTGTAAATTTGCTTTAAGTTATGCAATTTATTTGGAATATATGAGTTTACTGTTTAATTTATGCATATTTGTCCTAAGCATAATATTATGTTTTAAATTATGCAATTTTATTATGCCTTTAGCAATGCATACTTTGGGATGAAATTATAGTAGTTCCTTATTAAGCTGGACTTATGCATAAACTTTAGTTGCGGTAGTGCCTGAATTTAAGCACGTTTAGTCCGCTAATTTAGTTCACCATTTAAGCTTTAATCATAGGTGAACCCTACAGTTTTCTGGTGTATACCATACAGTTTACTGGTTATACCCCAAACAGTTATACATTAAGTATATATGAATCGGGGAGACATACTGGTTTTAATGGCCATGACTTAAGAACATCTTGTGCCACTAGTCTCCTTAAATTGATACTCTATCTAAGGAATACTTAGTCTCTAACCGCCTTTCCTTGGAGTATATTTAGATTTTCCATCACAATCTGGTATAATCTGTTTGTCAAAATTTTTAAGTATTCCTTGCCAATGTGATTTTATTTCGGTTCATTAAAGAATAGCCAAAACATCTTTAATTTACTGGAATATCTTGAGTTTTCAATCTTGGTTAATTAAGAAAATGCTACAGCATATTCCGCTACCTAAGATTATTAAGTTTTAATCACATAAAGTCTAGGCAGGGAATTGATAATTGTCTAGTGATCTTATAATTTTTAATTTGGTTTGGGAGTAGTCACAACATCCTTAATCTGTTAAAATTATATATTAAGCGGTTTATTTTGATCACATAAAGTTTTGGACATATCATTTGTGATTAATTGTATGTAATATGATAAAATTTAGCCCACAGGCAATTTTGTTATATTTGTATAATTAATCAGGATGAAATACTGGACTACGGTCATAATTTAGCCCACAGGCAATTATGTATCGGAATGTAGTTTAGTAGTTTTATCAGTGACGATAGAAATAAATCAATTTATTTACTTTATGGTTATTTGTAAATAATTTTCAATTCTATCATGAAATTTAATTTTATGATGTAAACTTTAGATCATATTTCTTAATTTGCCCACAGGGATTAAGAAAATGAACATGATCTCTTAAGTGTTTTTTATCGTAATGGTTGTAATGAATCTTATTGAATAAAGCTTTAGCCTAGAGGCAAGTTTTATATCATTTGATTCTTCAACTCATTTGATAATAGTTTCATCATAAATAAAATTTTTCAGTTGGATCTAATTGAGTAAAACTTTAGCCCACAGGTAAGTTTTATCAATAGTTATGCTGTGCAACCGAATGTACCATGTGCATGGTGCATACGGTTCAAAACGACGTCGTTTTGATTAAAAACGCGCGTCCCACTTAAAAAAAAAAAATCAGGTTCGACTCTCAGCAATAGCATTATTGTGGATATATAGTTATGAAATTGTGGATATATAGTTATGAAATTGTGGTTATATAGTTATGAATTTATGGATATTTAGTTCATTCATTGTGGATATTTAGTTCAATCATATATTGTGGATATTTAGTTCATTCATTGTGGATTTTTACTTCATTCATTCATTCATTGTGGATTTTTACTTCATTCATTCACTGTGGATATATAGTTATGAAATTGTGGATATATAGTTATGAAATTGTGGTTATATAGTTATGAATTTATGGATATTTAGTTCATTCATTGTGGATATTTAGTTCAATCATATATTGTGGATATTTAGTTCATTCATTGTGGATTTTTACTTCATTCATTCACTGTGGATATATAGTTATAAAATTGTGGATATATAGTTATGAAATTGTGGTTATATAGTTATGAATTTCTGGATATATAAAAATGCTATTGCCGGGAATCGAACCTGATTTCTTCTTTAAGTGGGACGCGCGTTTTTTTAACCAAAACGGCGCCGTTTTGCAACCGTATGCACCTTGCAAGGTGCATTCGGTTGCACAGCATAATTTGCGTAAGTTTTATGTCTCTAGATTCTTTTGCTATTTAGTAATTGAGATAAATATTATCATAAGGGTTTCTTAATTGGATTTAATAGAATTAAAACTTTAGCCCAGAGGCAAGTTTTGTTTTATGTCAATAAATCCACCACCCATTAGATGATATAATTTTATCACAATTTCTTAGAGTTATAAATTCAGTTCAATTATAATTCTAAGTTTCATGGTTTGCATTGGCAAAACATGTATTCAGTCACTTTTTAAAATTTAGCAACTTTTATTAATTGATCCACGAATCTTGCTCGGTTCTTCGGACTAACTGTAGTAAGTTACGTGATTTGACATACATCTTTTGGATTCCATTAATAATAAAATGTATCTTTTGAAATAACAACTAAAGTTTCAAATAATTGAATTTGAACATGCACCTTTTTTAGTTCTCAATGAAAATTGTAAACTTCAGAAAATTTTAAAAATTAGAAGTGACAAATGAATAATATTTCCCTCTTACTACAAAGTTCCAAGTTTTGGGTACATTATTGAAAAAAATTATATTTTTTTTATGAGTTAATACCATCTGAGGTCCTCCGAATATAGTGGGTTTGTCACGTTTAGTCCTAAACTTACAAATTGACCATATGTGGTCCTTTGACTTTCAAATTTAACCATTCATGGTCAAAGTTAACCACCCATGGTCTTTCAAGTTTCGAAATTTTACCAGTCGTGGTCCTCTTGAAAAGACCATGGTTGGTTAAAATTTAATAGTTGAAGGACCATGAGTGGTTAACTTGGACTACAAATGGTTAAATTTGAAAGTCGAAGGACCACACATGGCTAATTTGAAAATTTAAGACTAAATGTGCCAAAACCACTATACTCGAAGGATCTCGGATGGTATTAACTCTTTTTTACCAATATGTTTAAAAAAATAATCATGTTAGAATTGTTAAAACTTTTATGTCCAAACTATATTTTGCAATTTATTATAGTAGAATTTAAAAATATCAAGAAAATAAATTATTTATACTTTTCCCTATTAATAATGTAAATCATTTTCATAAATTCAATATTCATTTTTAGGCGATAACTAACTAAGAGCAACCCCATTATGAGGGTTTTTAGTGGCTTTTGCAGGAGGAAAAATTGGGCAGGTTTTTGATAGATGGGGAAGTTGATTTTTACATAATTTTTCTTCTTGACAATCTTTTTTGTTTTTGTTTTTTTCCTTCCTCTCTCTTAGTTGTCTCTGAAAAACTCCAACTAATGTTGTTGCTCTAACTAACTAACTAATCCTTAATACTTAAATTGCAAATTAAATTAAATTTATAAGTATCAATATTTATTTATAATGTTTTATTTATATTGTTATTTTGATCTAATGTCTACATATATTTAATAAATATATTACCATTAAAGAATAGAAGAAAACAAATGATGAATGCACTTATGCATGTATATAATGACAATTTGAAGAGATAAAAAGTTATAACAATAAGAGTACTTTTGCTCTAAAAAAAATGAGTTAATACCCAAAATAGTGACTATGTTGGTTTTTCTCCATTTAGTTCTGAACAACTTTTGTGATTTAATTTAGTCCCAAATTTGTGTATTTTTGCTAAATGTAATCCTTTGTTTACAATTTCATCCAATAACTGTTAAATTGAAGAATTTTGGTAATTGCAAGACTTTATTTCGTGATTATCTTTTTCGACATCATCCTTCCACAAACTCCAATTTGCCCAACAAAGAGAAATCTACCCAACTAAGAGAGGTCGCAACAGAACTGAAGATAGAAGCAATAGCAGTGGCTCGGGATTCCATGACTTAGGGACAAGAAGTGTACTTTTCTCGAGAGAACACAACACAACACGGTAGATCCATTTGGGCATGTGGGCTGTGGTGGCATTAATTATTTAGGGCGTCAATTTCATTAGAAATATTGTAAAAGTATAATAAGCTTAGACGTTTCGAGTCTTGTGGCTTAAAGTGAAGGGAGAGATAAGACAGGTGATCCACTTTAAGCCTCAATGCAAGCACATCATTTCTGTCTCTGCTTTGGCCACGTTTTCAGCTTTCAGCAACTCAAGTTTGAGTGTGTATTCTTGGTCTCAGCTTCTTCTCCAGAATCCCCATCCCCATCATCCGTCAGATATTCCCCCTCCATTCAAAAACACAATCTCAGAAAAAGAACAATTTTTGAATAAAATCAAAACAACCATTTCATTTCAGAACCAACAAACCAGTAATATCTCAAAGGTCATGAGCAACCAATCCAGTTGCCAATACAGCTCATATGTACACGTATTATACATTCAATTGAAATTTAAATGCCTATTTTATCTATAAAAAGGACGGGGCGTGTGAGTTAGGAACCTATTCAGGCATTCGACAAAACCTCAATGGAGAGAGCAAAATGTTGCTTTGCTTAGTGGAATGAGCAAGAAACAAAGCTTAAGTTGCGCTCTGAACGAGCTGAGTAGTAACAAAGGAAAATGAAAAGCCATGCTGTCATAATTTCAGCAGGTTTTGCAAATTCAACTAACAAAACCTCGGTAATACCTCAACCGGTGTTTAATTATGTTAACCCCTGCAGTGTACCTTCTTCCGCATTCTGCAATGTCCTGAAAACCATTTGAAATTAGAATGATGACTGTCATGATCAAAGAGGCTATTCAATGGTTTAGTTGGAATCTCAAACGCTTCCACTACGAAGCACTTTTGATCTGTAGAATTCTTAGTAGAATATTATCTCTCATACTCTGGCCTACGGACAGAGATCTGCTTACCACAAATAGCAAGAACCCCATAACGAACCTCTCGAGGAAGTTCCTCCACTAAACTTAAGATAGCCATTTCATGTTTCTTTTTAAGTTCATCAAGCTCCTTTCGCTGCTCAAACATCAGCTGCTGAAGTTTCTGCACAGTGCTTTTCGTGAGATCAGAATAAGTCTTGTAAGATGTTTCATTTCGCGTATCCAATTGATTAGGTCCATTTGCAAAATCCAGATCAGCAGAATGACCAATTTCATCCATGTAAGAATTTCGGAGTGCACTTACTTTTTGTTCCATATAATTATCAGTACTAGACTCAGTTTCTTGATGCTCATTTCCACTCTCATCTTTCTCACTATATGGCAATGGTTTTTCATTTTCTTCAGCATATGGTGAACCAGCGTGTACAGGCCGGAGTGGAGAGTTTGCAGGACTAGTAGTCTTGGGTGAATCAGACCAGTACTTACGACCTGAAGGAAGCTTTTCCAATACAAGACCTGCAGTGCGAGTGCACTCAATTGCTGCCGAAGGCGATAATTCATCATGAATGGCAGAAATAGCCTTTTCATCTGCAATATGATCATCAGGTCTCTCTATTGGTGCCCAATCTGGAATGTACGACCTAATTTCAGCATCAATCATTGCAGCAATTGCTGAAACATCTTGGTCTGTCAGGTCCAGCTCCTCAACCATTTCGCTAGCAACAGCATTTGCGGTGTCAACTTGGATATCAAATGGGAAATGAATGTTCCGGATATGACCTGTGCCCACAAGGCAGACGATCAAATAGAGCTAGGCATGTTATATTTTCGAATAAACAAAGAACACAAGCCTACCTGATGAATCAGCAATTCGTAGTTTCAAGAATATTGTATTCAAGTCCTTCCTTTGACCCTGCACTGTAAAGTCTCGGATGCCCTCAGGCACCGGAACCTTTGAACTGTTGAGTTCATAACTGTGATGACTATCTGCAAAAGTTTTCAGCACTAGAAATGTCAAATGCAAAGAATTATGGGCATATTAACAAAAGCCAATCAGTATATAGAAAACTTGCCTGCATAGTGTGGAATAAACGGCGATCGAGCTAAGCTTCCAGAATCGTCATCAGTGAGGAGAAAAGGATCTATTAATAGTTCCTTGGCAGACAATCGTTCAGAGACTTTTGCAATACACTTCTCAATAAATGCTTTCACGCCCGGATTCTTCACCTTTGCCAATGATGCTGGCTTGACTCCCTTTGGAATCAGAGAAAGAGCCACCAAAAATTAGTCAATAAATATGGCAAGTTAACAAGCATACATATACATATATCTGTGCGTGTGCGCATGCATGCATGTATGCATTAAGATCAAATAAACAATACTTTTTTTGAAAACAAATAAACAATACTTAGTTTCAAATAAATCTATTTCATTAATGAGATTTGTGGATATGGAAGTTATTAACACAAAAGGAATGAGATTGACACTTTAAAAGAGATGGTGATTCAAGTTGCAAGTTTGCAAATATTTCTGGCATAGTAAGCAGTTTATCATGGAAAATATTTAGGATGTGTTTGGTTCACACATGGGAATCGAAATCGGGATGGGAATCAAATACTTGTAATGGTAATGAGTTTTGGTGAAAGTATTTTGCATGTTTAGTAGTATAGTGGAATTGAAATGATTACCAATATTGATGTTTGGTTATGTATGACCCTATAATGAGAATAAAGGTTTTAAAAATACAAAAACAAAAAATCAAGGCAATTGATCCTAATATAATGACATCCAAAACACCAATATGAACAATAAAAAAAATCAGAACAAAAATCTAAAAGCACTAATCGAAACTTAAAAATCAGATAATTCATATTACCAATAAGATGGAATGATACCCGTTTTTAATTAGTGAATGTGGTTTTTAATTGAAGGGATAATCAAATCTCATAGTTGTATTTTAAAAAGTTGTTAACCAAACACTAACTATGATTTTGATTCTCATTCCTGGTGTGTAAACCCATGAACCAAACACACCCTTAGCACCTTCAGTTGCTCTAAACAGTGTTCCACTTGAATGAAATTTATACGGAGTGAAAGATCACAAATTAAAACCATAAAATTTGCTCTCTTTTCTCAAGTTACTTGGTGAAACCATAATTGATAAATGGCACATGAGGATAAAAGCTTGTCTATGGAATGCAAAAATCTGAATAAGTGAACTGCGAGCAGTTACTGTAATGCAAAAGACCCAAATGAGGGATTTGCTTCAAGTTAACTAACATTACCAGGGTAATGTGAGTCTGGTTATCTTATATAACCTTGTTTAGTTTAAGTTGTTATAACCTCTAGTGATGCAACATTATTGTCACATAAGAAAATGGGGTAAAATGAAGGCAATGTGATAACCTTGTTCAATTTTGCCCTTTATGCTGCATATATTATTTTTGTAGTGAATTTCGAGATAATATTACATTTCCACAATCTTAAATTAACACACAACGTAATGTTAAATTCCCGTAATCTCACATTACTTTTTAGAAAGTAATTCTATTATTTAGATGCAATTTCACATTTTGTGAACTTAAAGTCCACCAAGTCTAAACTATTCTTAAGATTTGAGGAGCAAATAATAACCTCTTGACTAGTAGATTAGCTCAAATGTATTACAAGTGAAATGCAGAGAAGGAAAGTCACACAGCAACTATGAAGAATCAAATTCCAATTGCAATAAGAAAATTACCTGTTTAGTAGCTGAGAATTTTCTAGTTTTTTGGAAAAATGGAACAGAGTTTTTATTCAAAAGTAACTATTATCCAAATTAGAAAATATAAAATGGAAAACACATTTTTCATGTTTTCCAGATTTTCCAAATACAAAGCATACATAGTTTCACTTATAACTACCATTATCATTAGTTAGAAATTTTCACTTACCTACCCACACCACCACTTACTTACCCCCCCACCACCACAACTATCTTCATTGTAATCATCACTTTCTTCCACCCACCACTACCTACCTACTTACCCATACAGCCATACTACCACCTACTCATGTACCTTAAACGCAGCTACCTACACCACACCGCCACCGACCTACCACCACGACTACATTCATTATAATCAGATCTTACTTACCATTATCTATCTACCTGATCCCCATCTACCTACAGTACAACAACATACTCGTATATATATATATATATATATATATATATATATATATATATATATATATATATATATATATATATATATATATATCCATAATCAGGTGAAAACCTATAGACAAATCCAAACCATTTATCTAATAGATCTAACGGTTGAAAATAAACAAAACTTTGTAATATTTATGAAAATGACCCCGCTCATTTTAAGAATTTGTAATATTTATGAAAATGATCTCGCTCATTTTATACTTGATTTCCCATCTATCAGATTTTGCAAATCAATGGTTTGGATTTATCCACAAGTTCTCACGGGAGTGGTTCTCATATATATATATAGAGTAAAAGACATTTTTGGTCCTAGACTTATAGTGGCACGGACAATTTTGGTTTTTAATAAAAAAATTAGACAATTTGTGGACACTCTTATTATGACAAGGACAATTTTGGTCCTCCGTCACTCGGGTAATCAGGCAGGAATCCAGTGAAGGCTTATTATGGAGAAGCTGATAAGCTTACGAGCTCACAATCACCTCTCTCGATTCTAACAGCCAAGAAGATGAAAGGTCCATAAAGGAGGAAGCTTTAACTAGAAGTTAAAACAGTCACAGGCGAGTATGGAGATGAAGAAGCGGATGCCCGTGCCGCTGAGAAAGGAGATGTCACGCTGAGTCCGGTGACTTTTCAGGCCAAAGGGACGAAGATGAAGATGATGGTGCATGAAAAGACGCAAATACCCCCTCTCAAATGGGGCATTTAACGGGAAGAGTGACAGAGGACCAAAATTGTCCTCGTCTTAATAAGAGTGTCCACAAATTGTCTAATTTTTTTATTAAGGACCAAAATTGTCCGTGCCACTATAAGTCTAGGACCAAAAATGTCTTTTACTCATATATATATATATATATATATATATATATATATATATATATATATATAAGCAATTAAATTGTAAATAACTTCATATATTTTAAATTGAAAATATTTGAGTTTGAATAGTTTCCAATGGAAAATGAAACTTGAATTAAAAAGGAAAAAAAAAAAAAAAAAAAGAAAAAAAAAACTAGAGATGAAAAAAATGGACAACAGAAATTTGTAACTAAACAGATCCTATACTTTTGACTATTCAAATAAAATAATATTAGACTATGCCAAAAATCACCTTCAACTCTAGAACCTCCAAGTTATGACTACAGTCTACATAACATACACTGAATAATCTCAAAGCCTTGCACACTATGCAAGATCCTTGACAGTAGAACTCTTGGTTATGGGTTCAAGCCCCACTAAGAGCAATCCTAATGAGGACATGTTGTAGTCTCTCCTTGATAGGTAATTTGTCTTGTTTGGGATGTTCTATTTATTTGTTATAAATCATAGTGGCCATATCCATAAATTGTAAAATATTCATTGCTTCGAGAATAAAAAACACTAAATAGAAGAGCACACTAGTAAATCTAAATTTTGAAATTATCATATGTTCTGTGTAAAGCACCTCTAATAAAGGAGGGCAAGATCCTTGTAGAAGTAAACAACAATATTGCACTATCTATTATTCCTCGGGAATTTGAAGTTTGCAGTAGAATATATATATGTACACACACACAGGCCGACCAAAACATATCACAAAATTGATTTTATTCATTTCTTATAGAAATGGAAAGTTGACTCCATGCATGGTACCCTTCACTTATTAATTCACACCTTCATTGGAGAAAAGAGAACCTAAAGTGGCTTTCTTCTTCATTTCTGACTTAACTTTTTTAGAAAAGATTTTTTTTCCTTTTTGATAAATGTATTTGTTTAGAAAAATTATGATCTACAAGGGTAAAAAGTTAAAAACTATATCCATACTTCTTTCAACTGAAAGAGCCAAAACGACAGGAAGACATAAAGCCTGATTACTATGTGTTTTGAGTCAGAACAACAGTCTCTATGTAAAAAAAAAAAAAAAAAAAAAAAAAAAAAAAATCCAACTGCTTTATAAATTACAGAGATAATATTTAATTTTAATTTTAATTCTCTAGTCCTGACTTGAATTCCTAACTCGATAGATAAGTTGCTTTATTTTCCATTTTCAAAGAAGCATGACAAACAATTAGACATGATTTATTTTAAATCTGTTTTACAGGTAAACCAATCCGTTTTTAAAAATTTTGAGGTGGTAAAAAAGCTTATATGCCCGGAATTGACAGCCCATATTTTACCCTTCCAAAAATATTGGTTTTCATGGCCTAGCCATTGGGCGCCCTCTTACCCATATTTTAGTTTCCTACCTGTAGCTTTTGCTACCCATGAGAGGCATTTCAGAGTCTTTTGGTAGAAATGTGGACACGACTTAAACAATTAAAACATTTTTTTTTTAAAATTTTTTATTCCATGCAAATTTGTTATTTAAACTGAAATCAAATCTTCATTGCCATTTTTCCCTTATTGTGGAACACACACACATATATATAACTTCATGATATTATTCATAATATTGATAAAATACTATAAGTCTATCCCTATACTTCATAGGGCTGTTTTTTCTTTATTTAGGATTCTACATCTTTTAAAATTTTGATTATTACAAAATTATTTTCCTTTCCATTTTTAGGTACTACTGCTAAAATAAATTTTGATGTCAGAACTTTTTGTTTATGCTAATTACTGAAATGTATTTGTGTTTTGGGAAAGCAAAAAATGATAGAATGGCTTTATTTTAAAATTAAAATTGCAACATTTTCATTCTAGTGCTATGTTGACTCAACTACATTGAGAAAATATTAAAATGGAGTAAAATAGTATTTCAAAATGAAGAACTACAAATTTATACTGAGAACCATGAATGATTTTAATATTTTTTGAAAATTGAAAAGAATAGGTAAATTCATACTGTCAAAATTTAGTTTAGCCCAAATTTTAAATTGCCCATGTTTCATCCAAGTATCCAATCCTCCCATCCGCCACATCTAGTAAAAAATTATGCATGCTCTAAACTCCATTTTCCATGATTATTGTCTAGAGACAAAACCAGAAGAGTCAACCATAGCTGTAACATTTTCCATAGAGCTATGATATTTTAAGTCACTTAAAAATAAAATACACAACCTAGTAAAATAAACATTAGAATAATAAAGCAAAAATAGATAAATAAATAAATAAATAAAACGCAAGAAAGAATACGATGGATTTGTACAGCAAACAAAAAAAAAAACAGTTTATGAATGCTTACTGCTGTCACTTTCTTGAATATTTGAGCAGCATTGGCGCACTCAACATATGGATATTCAAAAGTCACAAGCTCCAGCAAGCACATACCAAAGGCATATATGTCTACAAGTTCATTATATTCCTCCTCATAGAGTTCTGGTGCCATGAACTCCGGTGTGCCTAATAAAGGAGATGGAGCCACTTCAATTTGCTGATAGCTCAAGAATTATGTATAATGGGCAAGAGTCAACAATTCAACCATTTTGTTTAAACATTTATTCCCAAACAAAATAAATAAACAAATAACAACAATAAAAAGAACAGAGGTTGAAGAACTCACCAATGACACTGTGAGCAGAACGAGCTTTACGCAGAATGGCAGCCAGTCCTAAGTCACCAATTTTCACCTCACCTTGGTTACCATTTACAAATATATTGTCGCACTTAAGATCCCTATGAATAATTGGAGGATCATGGCTGTGAAGATAGGAAAGCCCCTCTAATATCTGCCTAGACCAATTCTTCAATGCTCTCACTTCAACCTTTTTATGTTTTTTACGATACCTAAATAAGCATACAGAAAGGCAACTTTCATGAATTGGAAGTGAGATCTGTATTATACTCAGAAAGTAGGAAGTCAAAGAAAAGTGTCAAATGCCAATTATATTTATACCCTATAGATTCTGTGATTTGTTTGAGAATCCTATGGTTCAAAAATATAGAGATAACCCATTTAAGGTTTTAACACCCTGCACGATATCTCCTAAATTTACCTTTTGATAATTATTACTATGGGGCAGCTTGAAGGGTTTAAAAATCAGAAATTTACAACCATGTGCTAAACCATAGGGATGTGAATTGGTGAAACCTCAAGAGGCATCCTGCATTTTACCACAACAAAAATAAAAATATTTCACTTCAACTTACTGCCTTAAAGTTCCTGAAGTGAATATTTCAGTAATGAAGTTGATATTCTCATTCTTTGTGTCAACCCATGAGTTGTAGAACTTGATAATGTTCTTGTGCTTGAGAGTTTTCAGCAAATGGACTTCAGAATAAAGACGCTCCAAATCCACAGAATTCTTCAGCAAATCTGTGACCTTAACCTGATTCCAAGCCACTTCAATTCCCTCCCATTCGTCAAATGCTCGATATCTGTATTTCCAAACATTAAGTCAAGGATTATCAAAGTTGTGCGGACAACAGAGAATTCAACAAAGGAATTTAATACAAAAGTAGGCCCATTTTCGAATGACGCTAACTCGCAAAAGGATACACTTTCTTGAAGGCTCCTTTTCCTAGCACCTCTTTGTACTGCAAATTGCAACACAATGCACTCATATCATTAAATGTATGGATTATTTACAGCTCAAAGAAAAAACTACTCCCAACTCCCTGAAAACAAATTCCTCCATTATGCTGTCTAGTGATCAAACTGAGATCATATAAATTAAAGTGGACCCATATTGATTTAAATAATTTAATATAACACGAGATTAAGGAACTGCATTAAATATAAAACTGAAGAAAAAGCCAAAATGGAAAAGTGTTCAGTTATTTAAAATTTACAACAAGACAAAAAAAATATTAAAAAAAAAAAAATCTGCACGACCATTTAAAAGCCAACAAGCAGGAATACTTCTCTCACGACTAACAATCCAGAAAAATAAGCAGATACGAAACTAAAAGGCCAGGAAAGGGGTAATAATCTGATGCACAGAATTCAGAAGAGAAAATCACTACAAAAGGAAAACCAATAATAAGTTTACTAACCCGACCATAGCGACCGGAAGGATCTATCTCAACGAACTCGGGTTCGGATTCAGAATCTTCAGGTTCCACCTCCGAACCAGAATCATGGAGCATTCTCTCTATTTTTCTCCAACTCAAATTCAAATCAAATCCACCGAGGGAAATCCAAACCCTATCTTCGCCTTCCTCGAAAATTCCAGATCAGTTCAATTCAAAATAAACAAATCCGAGCAATTAAATTGGAACTCCAGATTATGAAGAGAAAATCCAGACAGTTTGAGCAAATTATCTCTCACATGTATGCATATATTGCGTATACAAATATAAACGTATTATATACATATAAATAAATAAATATATATATTTCGATTACATACACAGATCAGTAATCTCAGAAGGAAGAAGATGAAGAAGAAACGTATACAAGAAATGAGGATGTGTAAAGGCCATGAGCAATGTCGTAATTTCACCCTAAACAGGAGCGAGTCAGCTAACTGATTGTCACCAACAGCCTCTTTTCCTTTTCTCTGGACAAAAATGGAAACATGAAAAGTCAACGATCCACTACCTTTTTTTTTTTGAAGGGCATAAATATTTTTAATAATACAGAATCATTTACCAGGGGGAAAATAAACATTTTGGTCTCTTAATTACTTTTCAATTATTAATATAATCTTTAATTTTCAATTTCAACAAATTTGATTCTTCAATTGTTTAAAATTTTATCCATTAAACTCTTTCTAGTACCAAATTGACGAAATTTTAAAATTGTAAAAATTATCGTTGATTCATTAATTGATCTGGTATATATGTACATTCATTAAATATATTAGAACTCTTTGCAACAAAAATACTTAATTACAATTTAAAAAAAGTTTAGTAACAATTATAATGAATCTCCTATATTACATTGTATTCATATACTATGAGTTACATATTTAAATAAACAAATTCGACATTAAATTACTTATGTATGAACTTCTCATATATAATATTGCATTAATATACTTTCAAATATTTATTTAAGTATAAACATTGGGCATTAACTCATTCGCCCAATGCGCGTGTAAAACTAGTAGAGTTCGATAATTATGAATATGAAGTTCAAAAATTATAAAAATATAACTTTATAATTATGAACATATAGTTCAATAATTATAAACATAAAACCGCGTCCACCTTGCAAGGTGGATACGGTTCCACAGCATAATGATTGCTAAAATTAGGAGTTGACTCTTTTTTCTTTTTTTTCTTTTTCTGAAAAAAAGGTTGAACCCCAACTCTAAGAGCCCCTCACACCTCCGGACCGACAGAGCATCTGGGAGGATTTAAATCATGGTAACGGCTAGATCTTTGCGGTAATTTATATCGTGCACCAGGACGCGCATTGCATTATGCGCCTCATGCAAAACGACGTCGTTTCAGATTTTTTTTTTTTTTTTTTGAAATTTCAATACCCTGTGTTGACGGTTAATTTTTTTTTTTTTTTTTAATCTCATATTAAAAAAGTACATAATTTTATACTAGAATACACATAATTGTATACATGAATGTACATAATTGTATAACAAAATACACATACTTTTACAAACAAAAAAAAAAAAGATAATACGCATAATCTAACATAATACATAATACATAATACACAATACACATAAACTCTTAACATAATATATATAAATAATTGTATAAAAATAACTTACCAAAACGACAAAATTATTCTCATATTATCGTTGGTGAAACTCAATCTCGGGTCATTCTTTTCAAACTTCTACTCTATGACTAATTGAGCTGCCTATAATTATATTATATTTGTGAGTATTTCGAAACAGAAATATTGGTGGGTCCAACATCTCCGGATCGAAGGCAACCAAACGATATCGTAGTAATTTCTTCCAAATATGATGTTATTCGATCCAGGTGACATGTAATGATTAGGTCTAATCTAATTATTAAGCTATCTAAAATTAGATTTTTGCCTCTTCTTTCTCAAAATGAATAATAGTCCGTAAGAGCATCCACACTTGTGTATATTGTGGGGAGATTTCAGCATTAATTCTTCCCTACATGAGATAATAACTAGTGTGGAGGGGAGATAATTGAAAAAGAATCCTCCTGCAAATGTGAGGAGATTGTCAGGAAAAAAAAAAAAAAAAAAAAAAGAGAAAGAAGAAGAAGCAAGGCTGTGCGCGCGTCAGGCGCGCCAGTCGGCGCGCCTGACGCGTCTAACTACTTTTTTTTTTTTTTTAATTTTTTTTTGTTTTGTTTTTTTTTTTTTTTTTTTTTTTCTCTCATCTCCCACACTCTCTTTCCTAATCACTCTTACATTATCTCCCCATTCTTCCCAACCAATGTGGATGCTCTAATAGGTTAAAAAGCTTTTTTTGTTTTTGTTTTTGAATACTAAAAAACTTTATTTAAAAAGGGATACTTTTATAAATTTTCAAAATGGAAACCACTAATTATTTATATGCGTGAGAAAATATAATACTTTTACATTTTTCCTCAAAAGTATTACATTTTTATAAGTGTTGCAAAAATCCCGCCTAGGCATTGGCCGGCCGCTTAGCGTATTACCATAATCGGTAAGCCGCCTAAGGGTTGACCGCCTAAGTCTCTTAGATGCCTCCTAGGCCTACTAGGCACCGACTAGGTGACCTAGTCGGCCGATTAGCTATTGTTCCCTTCTTGTTAAATGGGTTATTTATCTCAAAACGACATCGTTTTGAGTGAAATAATCATTAATTGTTCAAACTAAGAGTGTTCAATCGGTTAACCTTTCGGTTAACCAAACCGTTTTTGTAACACCCCGAAATTTTGAAAATTTTAAAACTTATATAATAAAGGTGAATGCTCATTATATCCCAAAATCAAACATAAGAGTATGGGGTGCTATGCCACACCTGAGCTAGAGAACCCAGGTGCACAGGCTAACTAACTAAAATCCTCAATGTAATGTCAATACATAAGCATGGCGCGCCGGTCAAAAGGGAAACTAACTAATCTACACTTCGGATCTCTAGCGCGCTCCGGGGTCTACTCATCTGTGCCTGAAAGCCAAATATATCTGTTCAGCGAGAGATGCTGGTAACCCACTCCAACGCGTTGAAATACAATATAGGTATATATATACATATATATATATATATATATATATATATATATATATATATATATATATATATATATATATATATATATATATATATATATAGGGTCCGGATCAGGTGAGGACCTAATCTTAGGTGAGGATGTGAAGACTAATCTAGACCATTAAATCAAAATGATGTATGACTGAGATTAAAAGGAACAAATCATATGGATTAAGAAAACAAATCCCTTTAAAATATATAAATTTAGGGTAAATCAGTCTTATTAAAAGATGTGCATTCCTATAAAAAATGTTGTGCATTCCTATACTGAGTGTTGTGCATCGATAACTTTATTGTTGTGCATTCGAACCCCGCCAAAAAAAATCATACATTGGACATTTCAATGTCCTACGATGCACTGAACTATGTGCTATAATGCACAACTCTCTAGCCTATAGTGCACAACTTACAACACTAGGTTGCACAATCAGCACACACGAATGCACAATCGTACTACCCAGGCATTTATACATATACACGACAATCCAAATATAGACAATATTATACTCAAAAGAACAAGCGAAAAAAATAAAAAATACTGATTAGTTTGCATGGGCGAACACTCAATCAATGATGAAGAAATCGCGGCTCCAAATTGCAACGGTGATGATCCAAGAAAATATGAAACCAATTTGGCCAAGGATTACACATGCGTTCACACTTGAAAAAAAAATAGAAAAAGACACTACTACCCCACTTTAACAAAAAAGATCAATCCATGTCATCTCAAAAACTCAAATCTGGGTCATCCAAATAAAAAAAACAAACGCACAAGATTAGTCCTCACGTCCTCACCTAAGATTAGGTTCTCACCTGATCCGGATCCTATATATATATATATATATATATATATATATATATATATATATATATATATATATATATATATATATATATATATATATATATATATATATATATATATATGGATATAGGAAAATCATTTTGAAGCAAGAAGATATATACTTAGGAGACTCTAGCTTTAAAACCAGGAATAGACTCAGCAAATAGGGACAAGCACATTAATCAATGATAACAGTTAAGTAGAGTTAACATCATAAGAAATATGCATCTAAGGTCACAAATCACTTTTCAATTCAATCACATCATCATCCAGACATCATTCATATCACATAAGCATTGGTGGCGTCACGAGACCAATCGCATAACCCGAAAATGAGGGTTAATGAATATAGCATTAACACGGCCTTGCAGCACCCTACCTTATACCGCAGCATGAAGGGAGTTGATCGCAACCAACCCTTTGAAGACCGATGACGAACTCAACGTCGGACCACAATCCTACACATCGCTGACGCGCCCAGTCGGTGAACTGTGATCCCCTTTACAAGGGGGGACATACGACCCTACACACCGTTGACGGGCACAGTCGGTAGACCGTAGCGGATCAAGCCCTACACACCGCTGAGAGACTCAGTCGGTGGGCGAAAATTCTCGGAGACTACGACTCTACACACTGCTGGCCCATCACTCGGTGGATCGCAGCCAGCCGTAGCCCTACACACCGCCTGATTACTCAGGTCGGTGGACTACAGCCTTCCTCGGGTTTATTGGCCCTACACACCGCCTGACGCGTCCAGTTCGGTGGGTCATCGTACTCGAGGCCCATGCGGACCGCAGCCCAAGAAGTGAATCACTGACCGCAGCTAGGAGGATGAACCGCAGCTCATAAGTAACCAATAGTGGACCGCAGCCCTATTTAATATTTATATACCTGACCAATCGCAACCGGCCTGGTTAACAGTTGGGATGGTTCTCAACCCATCCAACTGCCCGTATAGCCAATTCGATCGCAACCAAATTGGGGAATCATGCATCACATAACACACAATAGCACATAGTAGTACATAATAGCACATTGGGAAGGGGAAGACACATAAATAGGCTGACGTGTGATCATTCACATACTAAGAATAGTCCTAAGGGGTTCATACGACTTCCACCTAGGTCAACGGGTTACCGATTCAACTAGCATGCAATCCCTAAGACTCTTTTATCCTACGAACGGTACGCAAACATCAAACTAGACTCAAGTACGACAAACGGGGTCCGTTGGGACACCACGGGGGAATGGGAACATGAAACGGGGAAGCCAAAGATCTGGAGTGGGTACGGACCAGCGGGTAGCCGGTAGGTGGGGGTCACCCGCCGTTGCCCGCCGGAGATCATCGCCCGGGCAGCGGGTTGCCGGCGGGCAGGCGTCTGCCCGGTGGCTGGCCGATGCCTGGCGGTGATCTTCGGGCGGTGGGTAGGTGGCGGGTTCCCCTACCCCCA